AGGGGAGAAACCTACTGATTTTATTTCCTAAATCTCTCTGATTTGTTTACTTTGCTCCATCCCCACTGCTTCCACCATAGTCCAGCATGAGAGAGAGGGGGCAGGGGAAGGAGGAGGGAGGGTCGGAGAAGGCCCTTGCTTAGGCCTCAGAGCTCCTTGGATGACAGACATTCTTCATTTAACAAACGTGTGAGAGAGCATAAAAATGCACCCGATATGCAACAGTAAACAAAGCAGATATCCCTGCCTTTGGGTCGTCTGCTTGGGTAGACAGTGTCTGAAGCGTGAGAATACAGAGGCCACGGTGGCTTGAACAGGGTGGCTGCCATCCTTAAATATAACAAAACCCCTCCCTCACCAGTTCTGCCGCTTCACCTGCAGCCTTATAGCTATTAATCCACCCACAGCCAAACTTCGTGGCAGAGCTGCCCACCTCATATTTCCATACCCTCTTGTCCACCACGCTCCTCATACCCTCACAATCTACAGTCTTCTCCCTTCCTCAGTGGAAACTGTCCTCAATTAGGCCACCAAAGTTGAGTGGTCTTCAATCCTCACCTTATTTGACCTCAATAGCTTTTGGCTCTGTTGATCAGTCATCCTCTGGAAACATGCTGTGCCCAGGACTCTCCTAGTTTTCTTCCACCTCTGACTCCTCCTTCTCAACCAATGATAGCATTCCGCAAGGCTCGGTCCAACCCCAGGTCTCCACTCCTCTTTATGCCCTCTCCCTTGGGAATCTCATTCGGATCCAGTTTCAACTGACATCAAATTACTGTTCAGTCCCAAAGGTATATCTTCCACTCGGTGCACTTCTCAAAGCTCCAAACTTATAGATCCAACCACCTCAACTCAATATGTCCAACACTAGACTCATGAATTCCCCTACCAAACATATTCCCACTTCTCAGTGTTGGTCCTGCCATACAGTTTACATGCCAGAAACACAGGAATTGTCATTGCCCCCCACCTCCTTTGCCACCCAAATCCAAACCATCATTAACACCTACTTATTTTGTTTCCTAATCTCTCAAATTTGCCTATTTTACTCCATCCCCACTGCCTTCACCGTAGTCCAGCATCTGTCTGGTAGCTTTATAACAACCTACCTGTTCTCACCACATCACTTGGATCCCCTCCAATCTAGCTGGTGTTTTCAAAATGTAAATTTGATTCTATCACTCTTTGCTTTCAAAACATAAAAGGTTTCCTATTATTGTTAGGCCAAAGCCCAAATTCTCACCAGGATCTATCAGTCCCTGCATGGTCTGGTCCTACCTAATGCTCTTTCCTCATTGATCTCGTTCATTCCCCTTGCTCCAGCCACAGGGGCTTGCTTTCATTTCCTCAAAGGCACCATGTATCCTGCTACCACAGGGCCTTTGTACGTACTGTCCTTCTCTGGATTGCTCTCATCTCCCCCAGTGCGTCTTTACCCAGCATATCTTAGCTCCAGTATCAATGCAACATAGAAGGCTTTATGTATCCCTGAGCCTAGGTCGGACTCCTTGATTATTCCTTTTCTTTCCTTTGGAGCATTTATTTCCATTTGAAATTATAAAGTCATTAATGTGGTCTTTTGATTGTGTCAATCACCAACACTAGGACTATAAGTTTTATGGATCGGGGACTTTGTATTTTGTTCTGCATTACTGGTTGGATGAAAATACTCACTGAAAATGTTTACAAGAAACTAATAACAGCAGCTACCTGTTTGGAGGGTGGGTGAGAACTGGGTGCATGGGTGTCAGAGGTGGGAGAGAAATGAAGGGCCCTTCCTGAGGTCATTCCTCTGAAAGTGGCACAGCCAGTCTAGGTGTTCAGATTACAAGCTTATATTCCTTCTAACACAGCTGGCGAATAACTCCCCCACCCTTCTCAACTGCGAAAAAGAGAAAACTGAGATGGCAGAGCACTCTCATAAATTTTATTTCAATCCCATGACATTTTGTGACAGACCTAGACAAGTATGAGCCAGTCTGGGTCTGGGTCCCAGGGGACAGGACTTGCAGAGAAGGGAAAATATCCAACTTTTGTTTTGACAGTTATACTCACCCAGCAGGATAGAAAAGAAGAAAGAAAAATGTCCTTGGCTGGTGTGGCAAGAATCCTGCCAGTAAATCTGGTGGATGCTCCAACTTGCCAAAGACATCCCCAAGGTCCCATTAACACCATGACACTGAACCAGGGCGGCACTGAACACTCAGTAACACTGCTGACTTCCTCGCGACCCTTGAAAGATGTGTTTCTACTTACTGAGGCGCCGGTGGGACACTTGAAGATGGAACTAGAGAGTGGCAGGACTTCGCTGCTGAGGGTGAGGTGAATGTGGCCCTGGGTGTACATCACAAAAGCTTCTTTATGTACGATTTTCCTCCTCTTCACTTAACATCTGCACTGAGTATAGAGTTCCAGACTCATTGATCCCCCAAGCTAGGGAAAGTGAGAAGTATCAGTGAAGCGAATAAAAGTTGCCTTCACCACCACGGTCTAGATCACTGCCCGAGCTGACTGGAAGCTGAGAGCAACAGCACAGACACTAGAAAGCCCAAGAACTCGCTGTGATCTAAGACATGGCACGTCATACATGAAAGGCGTGCGATGGGCAATGTCCAGGCCATTTCCCACCATCTCAGAACACGGGAAGCATTCATGTGCCCTGATTTTCAAAACTATCCTCGGATCTATTCCTTCTGGAATAAAAATGTGACCTGAACAGCTCTTCTGACCCCCCCTAGATTGAGGGCCACCATGGGAAAAACACAGACTGCTGCTGACCTGATATATTCATCCCGGGTGGAACGACAATGTGATGCTCACCTTTAGAAAGAAAAGGCAGAAACGCGTGAGCATTCTTTTGAAGAAAGGAACTAGGAGTGCCTATAATTCCTCATCCAACTCTGAGGTCATCAATTCACAGCCACTTTAATCACTCCAGAGTACGTAAAAATTCCTCAAGGAGCATCATAAGATGTAAATCATAATACTGACCCGAAAAAGACATTTAATTTTAGTTTAAAATTAAATTCTAAACTAGCTCACTAATTTAACTTTGTTCTGATGTGCTACCTTTCAAAGTGGGCAGGAGAAAAAATGCAAGGGGTTCAAGAGGCGTTGAAAAGTGCACAGTACCTCAGATCTAACTTCCAAATGCAGCTACGCAGGAGCTGGAACAACTATCTTCCTCCCCCAAAGCTTCTGACTCCCCCTCAGAGCCACCTAGCACACCCTCCCTTTGTTATCTAGGAGCCCAGGGTGACTAGAGGGAAAATGGAAAGGACTTCTCCCCAAGATCAACATCTGAGCACCAGAAACAGGACTGCCTTCACATTGAAGCAATTCTCAACAGTCCTATTGTTCTGTTTTTTCAAACGATGGAAAATCTAATTCCAGAAAATGTTAATAGCTTCATTATGTGACCATCGGACTAATAAGTTATGTAGCCAAAGAGTTTCGGGCTAAGCTACTAAGATATTTTTGGAATAACATCTGATCTCTTCATTTAAACCTATTGTTATCAGGAATCTAGGAGTATAAGCAAAACTCCTACAAAATGGAGACTCAAACACCAGCGCCTCAACTTGGAATGTGCTAAGACATGACTCGGGCTGGGGACACTCAGGCTTACACTTGGCAGGCCCGCGTGAGTACGGAGTGGCTGCCAGTGAGTATGGAGAAGGGGAAGAGACAGGTGCTTGGGGCCATGTTGGGAGCAAACTATAGGATGAGTGTTCAGAAATTTATGACAAACCGTANGTGGCTGCCAGTGAGTATGGAGAAGGGGAAGAGACAGGTGCTTGGGGCCATGTTGGGAACAAACTATAGGATGAGTGTTCAGAAACTTATGACAAACCGTAGAGGAGGGGTTAGAGGATTCTAGACTGCTGTTAACGAAGTAGATCTAAGGGAATAATCTCTTGATAATATTCAGGAAGCAAAAATAGAGTTTTCCTTAGTTGGACGTACCTGCCCATCATGCTAATGGTTTCTGTGCAAGAGCATGAAGAAGGCCTCCAGGTGCCCGAGAGCCCTGGACAGAAGATAATGATGTTCGGAAGAACAAGGCAGCTACCCTAGGCCGACACGCAAGAGAAAAGCACTTCACCCAAACCCATCACATAAGGGTGGAGGGAAGGAAGCCCCCAAACATGTGCAATGGCTCATTAACCCATAAAACAGTCCTTGTCCTGAGGGGTACCCACATCCCCACAGCAAAAGTCTCTCCAGCAGTCTGTCACATTGCCTTAAAAAGTCCCATACAGAGGAATGGCTTGGTTCCACAATCATCCCACTTCCACTGTGGTAATGACATTGCTTTGGGAAAGTAGCAATCCTCACAATTTCCCCACAACTCTGGCATCTGCCCCAGATTGGAAGACCCCTTTGATATACTCACCCCCAAATCATCCTGACCCTTACATTCCACAACCACCTTGACCACCCTGTACCTCTATGTCTTAACAACTATAATGAAAAATCATAGAAGTGTTAGCCATGATAATTATTCCATTTAATTTCCTTAAGGACATTTTCTTTCCTCTTAGAAAATTTCTTAGAGGCCTATGCTATCAATAACACCAAAACAACAATAATGATGGTAGTCACAGCAGCTCACATGTGTAGAGTGCTTACCCTGTCAAGCACTTTGCTAAGGGGTTTACATATTTACACATTTTACATAGTGAAATCATATTGCATCAGCCTTATGATATAGATGCTACTACTGTCTCCATTTTACAGAAAAGGAAACTGAGGTACAGTGTACCAACCTTCCTCCCATCTTGTTCCCTCACTTTGTGAGGGACCCCATGCTGGTGGTAAAGCCTCAGGAATCTGAAGTTTCTGAGCAGTGTTTTTTAACTGCTGGCAGGGAGAGAGAAGGAAGGATAACACTCTTTAGTCTGGGTTTTGGAAAGAGCATTCTTGACTCCTTTGGTCACAAAACTCATACAAGATATGGCTACTATTTTGCTGCTGCACCGGGTACAGCCAGTTCTTACCCTATTATCTTCCTGGATCTCCCAGTCACTGGAGAAAATTGTCAGTTGCTGCCCTTGGGAGCAGTTTGAAAACTGGAAAAGACTGGAAAACATCCTTCTGTTCTCTTGAGTGTCTGGAAAGATGGCATCTTGGAAATTGACTCCATGAGGCAAGAGGTTATAATTTTCATCCATCCTAGTGGGAAAGAGGAAAAAAGAAGATGTAGAAGAGACATCTATGGGGTGTACCAGCTTTAATCAAGAGTCAGAGAAGACTGACAGTCTTGCCAATTACACAACCATGTCTCACATGGCTCTCATCAGAGGAGTTACTGTTTCTAATTATTCTCTGCCTCAGGTACATGCCTCTATTCTTAAGGTTTTCAAAAAGATGACTTTGGGTGAAGCAGGGGGGAAAGTGTGTGCTTGCATATATATATATATGTTTGTCTATTTGTATATCTCCCAAGAGGCCTTCCTTCTAGAGAGTGTTCCTTGTTTCTTGGTGAATGTAAGGTCAGCTGGGATGGCCAGTTGGAATGATCCTGCCCTTACTCCTTATCTTCTGTCTGACATGAAGCAAATTTTTAAAATTCTCTAAGCTTTAGTATTCCAATCTGGAGAAACAGGGTAATAACAGCACCTTACTCCTTGGTGGCAGTGCAAGGACTGCATTAGAAAATAAGAGTAAATAAAGTACTTGGCAGGACATGAGTACAGCACAAATTAGTTAACATTTCTATAGAGCCTAGAATAAATAGCCTGTTGGAAAGACAAAGTCACAAAAAGGAAAAGGAGAGATGGAAGTCACACTCCAGCTCACCAGTGAGTCTCCACTGCCACTTCCCACTGTGACACTGACCAGAGTCTATCTCAGTGGGTCCCGGATAACAGAGCAGGAATGATTTGTATGCAGCTGTTGACACAGGAAAACACAGCCCTGCGAAATGGAGCTTTATCAGACTACTATTTGACTATTTATTTCTATCCTAACTCTTTGTAAATGTCAGAGCAAAAGATGAAAGAGCTGGCTGACCACCACAGAGCCAGTGGACAAAACTCTATTTTGTGACAAAGTT